CTTAACAAATACGAAGGACTCATGAATGATAAAACTGATAAAAAAAGATTATGAAAAATTACGCCATGCACATGCAGCATACAAACCCCCCCCCCCCCCCCCCCCTTCAAGAATATTTTCCACTGCCTTGTACCCAGCTCACTAACCTAGTACAAACACACAGGACTTTCGGTACTGATTGAGTAATTATGATTTTTTTTACTTGGCCTCCCACGATTTTTCACTTTATTCAAACCTTACCGCGTTGGATTTTCTTAGGTGCACAATCGGAGTGGTACAAAAAATAAATGCATTTCTCATTTTTGGGCCTTTATTCCTTATGGTCTCCTCCAAGGCTGGGACTTGGAATATCACTCGCACTGGTTTCTGATTGGTCTTTTGTTTAACCAATCAGAAACGTTAATGTTACCTTTCCGTTATGATGTTTTTAGAAAGTCAATTCTGATTGGCTAAAGAACGATCCTGAAATAATTCTAGCCTTCCTCGTAGCTTGATTCATAGTGTCAGTGCCAGGTCCTCGCTGTAAGTAGAGGCATCAAGACTCGAAAAAGGAAACGGTTGAATTTACCCAGAGTCCTTCGTTTCTAGGCGTAGCCAGACCAAAAGCAATGCAGCCGTTTCTCGGAAGAATTATACGAGAAAAAATTCTGAATCCTGCCCAACCCTATTTTTCCCCTTGAAAAAAGCTTTAGAAAAAATCCCTATCATGTAATCAATTTATGAAACCATAAAAACTCTAGCCATGTGAAATTATAGACAGACTTACTGACCAACATTTGAGATAATTTCTACACTTCCTCTTCGCTGATTGGTCGAGACAGGACGACTTTGATAGACTGATAGAATGGTAGTTCTAAGAGCAAAGGGAAGCAATCTCGATTGAGTATTGTTTTTGGCATGGCTTTAGTTATTAAGCTCTAAATTTAAACCATGAAATATCTAAAATTAAAACAGAATGTCGTGTGGAATCGCTTACTTTACATTACATACATGCAGCTTAATACTATGTCAGGACTGTAAGATTAATTAAGGGACGTTGTGAAAAGGACTAAATCGACCAATAGCGTGTGGAATCGCTTATTTTACATTACATACATGCAGCTTAATACTATGTCAGGAGTAAGATTAATTCATGGACGTTGAGAAAAGGACTAAATCGACCAACAGCGACAAAGCCTTAGCCTTTTTACACAGTGACCCAACACTCGGAGCAAATATTTTCCAACTGTTCTAGATTTTTCTAAAAGTACACATTATAAATTTTTAATGATCGAGGTAGATTGCATAGAAATTTTATATCGACAACACCATCAGTGCTAATATGATGACTCTCGCCGAAAGGTTCAAAGGATCTTTACTGCATTCCCTCAAGAAATCTCTCCACTTTTCACATCTTACCAAAGCAGTGGATAAACTTGCTGAAAGTAAGTTCAATATTCGAATTGCATTAATCAGTATTGATTCTACAATCGATAGGCTTTAAAAAAAAACAGTATCTGGTACCTAAAATGCATGAATATTTGAATATTCACGCTATGTTACTTTTCGGATATCAGATTTGAGTCTGCTTTTTAATTACTATGTATAGCTTTAGCTGTAGGTAGACTGAAAAAATACCATTATATTTGCACTGGTCATGGATATGGTAAGCTATTGTTTTTTTGAAATATGAAGACACACGGACAGTGATCAAGGAACGATAGTGAAAGACAGACGTACGGATGCTACGCTAGCCGAGTTTATGCTGCTATGGATTTGCCCCCTGTTAGCTCGGAAGTTGTTTAATTTTGTGGAATTACGTAAAATATTATTACATTCCTGCGTGCTTGTTTGTATGTTTTTTAGATATCTTTTCAATATCTTTAGATTGTATTACAACTGAGGATTTTCCAGCATTTTTTTGTTGACTGTTCTTTGATTGATAAAGCAGTTCATTAGAGTGGGCTCAGTGCATGTTGTATGTCCAATAAAACTAAAGATAAAAGCACGAAACAGTACACTTTTCCTGAGGGGCAGGGTTTCCGAGGGGGGGAAGGGGAGGGGGTGGGCATTTTACTTGTCGAGGAAATATGATTAACCTTTCATATTTCTTACCTTAAGGTCTTGGAAGACCGGAAGCACTTTCCGTAATCTTGAAAGAAGAGGGCATTGAGATCACTGACAAAACAATCATCTACTTCCTCTTCCCCAGGCCCCCAGGAATCATACAAACTAACTCGTCTCCAGCCTTTATGTCTATAAATAAATAGTAATAAATATTAAACTTTAAGAAGGTAACAGTAGGCACTGATAAACTAAAAAGTTCTTGTACTCTCAAAATAACGATCAACTGAAGAACCATATAGAAAGAAAGTGTTTTCTTAAATGTAGTTTAATTGACGACTGGACTTGAATGAAAAATGTACTCAACACACACGATGACGATAACAAATATACCAACAGTGTCGCTAAAATAATAGCAAACAATGTTTTTGTATCATAACTATAGAATTGGAATGTACTATATCAAGGAGGCAAACTAACGTCACGGCGTTGCGTCCTTTTGTGATTCTAGGCCTTGAAGTGCCTATGACGTCACAGGCTGTGTTGACATTCCTGACTTTACGTTTGATTCTAACTGACACTAATTAGGGAATAATAGTACTTATAAATAGCAGTTTATATTACATATCTTAATTATGTGCAGTTGGATTAAGAATTTTTTCAAAAATTTCATAGAATAAAGAGAATATGACTGAGCTCCAGGAGCGCGATGATTCAGAAGAGAATGAATTGATATGCAAATTTGGTACACAACACCCGGGACACAACAGTACAAATGCCTTATGTAGCTAAACATTGTCTCAAACAATGTTTGCAGCCTATATTTATCTTATGTCTGCTCCTATTCTGCCTATGCCATTTTAAGATAGTAAGCTGTATAAAATCCACAATCTTGGCAACAAAGCTTAATGAAGTCCAACAACGAGCTCAAACGAAAATAAACTTCAAATCGTTGTCTTGTGATTGGCTGTCTGTTTATGCATCTGATTATTTTGGCTTCGAGCGTGACGTCACGGCCGGTTTCGATCACGCTTCGTAAATCGAGTCGCTTCGGCGTTAATAGCAAGTTTACTATAATATTCTTCTTATCTAAATGCCTTAGAAATTAAGCTGGGGACCGTGTTACCAGGAAATAGCTCCTGGAATTTCTGTTTCAATGGCTTTATATTGGTTAGGCCTTGGTTTGGAAGCATTAGCGAGTTCTTTATCAACAAGGATCTAAACTATATTCAAGAGTAGCGATTGTTTTGAAGTGGTGTCCAAATCCAAGTCCTGTTTTGAGGCTCTTCTCGTTGTTTGAGATACAAGGAAAACTCGTTTGTTTTACAACAATTGTGGAATGAAATCAAGTTCGAAGCTTCCAGATTATTCGTACTCGTAAAATATGCCCGAAGTTGGTGAGTTTGGACCTGAAGAGAATCATGATTCTCTGCTGAACTTGAACGGCTTCGAAAAAAGTAGTTCAAACTATACTTACACAGGTCCCACGGTCTATATTCTCGTGTTACTAAAAATGTAATACAACTCTATCTCTCAATCTGATTTATGTGTTAGTCAAGTTCTAAGTGCATTCTACTAGAAGTGTTTTGGCTTCCGGGCGAATTACATAAAGCATTTTTGATCAAAGCTTCCTTCCATTTTTGACGACTGTACCTGTGTGGTAAAAGTGTTCGCCAATCGTATGTCTTGTAGACTCTTCTTTCATCAATTTTAATTTGTTTATCCGCGGAAGATAGTTGCTAACACACCGTTTCTTCTCTTATTTCAGGACGTGATGATGTTGATCAGGAATACGAAGGTAAAATATTCTATTTTCTCACGAACTTCTTTATTTATTTATTTTTAGTTTAGTTTCTTATGGGATTTCGTGTAACTCAGCCAAAAACGACCTCTCGTCCGTACGTACACTAAACAATTCTCTTACTTTAATTGTTTAAGACATCCAAACGGTGTCCACTTCACGAGGTACAGATTAACTAGCAGAAATAATCATAGCTCGTCTCATAAAGCGAATCAAATTTTATTGATTTCCTTTTTTGCGTTAGTAAAGCAATATTCTATAAGCCTCTCGTCGTCTGTATGCAAATCATGGGAATCAACTGAACCTTATCAATATCAAAAATGTATTCCAATGCGTTTAAACTTCGTCTGTATTTTTTTCAATTCTCTCTACGTTTATCCCTTCTATTAAAAAGCCCTTCTTGAGAATATTATGTGGTGTGATCTTATTTTATTACCGTGGGAAAGTGTTGAAAGAAGTTCGACATGCGTAGAAAAGCGAAACTCGTCAAAAATCTAGAACAAAAAATTAAAATATGACAACACAACGTCCTTCTTCGAACCGGCTCTTTAACTACCGAAACTAGAGTTTAAGAAATACTGATTGAACAGTATAATGTGGTGTTATTGATTTGGTGGCAATGATGTGTGTAATATGTTTTTATTTGAGCTATTCTTTCGAAACATCAAAACTATTCGAACGTGTAGTCCACCGCATTTGAGCAAAGTAAAACGCTATAAAAAATATTGAATTTACTTTTTTAAATTATTTTCTAACTGTTTACTATAAAGAGTTTTGGTCTTAAATGCTCAATAGTGTGGCCCTTCGCCAAGATCTTTGAAAATGGGTTAAAAAATCATGTGAGGAAAATTTCGACTTTATGTCTGTTTTTGGTATGGTAAATCACATCTTTCTTTCTTGCATCGAACTGAAAACATAAATTTCCTTTTCTATATATTTTATGAACGTTCGTAAAAGTGAGGAATATACATGTGTTACGATTAAAAATTTCTTGTATCGTTGTTACCATTTTAGAAAAAAATATTTGCTATTCCAATTTCAGGTGATACTGTTCGCCTTTGCGATGGAAAACTTTGCAATTCGAGCGTCCAAATAAAAAGAAGCGTGGCTGTTAAGGTAAGAAAAATAAGTGTTAAAAATATGATTCCTTAGCATGCTTTCATTATCAAATATATTGGTGTTAACATATACTTTATGCTCAAGTCAAACCCTCTAACTGAAAACAAAAACAAAATACAAACAAATATTTACCCTGTAGAATGGAATTCTTGTTGTTTATGATTGGTTTATTATTTTAACGATCATTTTGTTGCATTGTTGACTGTCTATTATCAAATAAATTTAACTGGTAAACGCCTTATTCTTCAAACTCTAAGTACAAACACTCAATCAAACTATAAAGTATGAATTTGGTACTTTGTTCTATATAGGAAACAAAAAAAATCTTCAGATAAATCTTAAAACATCAGAGAGAGTTTTGAGCTTATACAGTAACTGGATGAATTTCCACAAAATTTGGATGCAATAACGGTAATAGGTATAAAATATATATTCAGCAAAAAGAAAAAAAATCGAAAATTCTTTATTACTTGGGTTAATTTAATGAGTACTTTAAGAGGATAATTGGAAAAGAATGAACTTTATTTTATCATTTAAAGTTAATTGAAGTCGAATAATCATTTATATATTTTACCAAAACGATTCTCTTAATGTACCATTATTTGCCTCTCTAGCCAAATAATGCATCAAAACTCATTATTATTCTGTGTTAATCTAAGGTCAAACACCACCATAAGAACTCTTTTTAATAATCAATAAGGTATCATTTAATCTAAGCTATGTTGAAATATTCCATTAATTATCCTCACTTATGAGATTATATGTGAAGGATGAGGCATACCTAAAGCTGGTTATCAGCAGAGACTGGCAGGATAATTTGGACTGATTGCATTTTGATATATTTGACACCAGTCTGAGCTTTGTTTGAATATTACATTGTCATGTGCTTTTGAGGTTAAGGATATTGTCCAGATGGAAAAATTACTTCTATATATAGTGTGATTTTCCGAATCTAACTTAGCCTAAGTGTATGTGAAGATATCATGTGTCTGAGTGTATTTGGAAAAAAAAACGCTGCTATAATGCATATTATAGTGTCTTAATTCCAGTGTACTAATACTTCAGGTTGGCTGCACATAAACAACTGTACATCGTAGCTAGAATCTGTACCAGCTTACTTACAGTGTGGCAACATTATCTAGGCCACCCAAACTAAATTTTAAATCAAATTCACAAATCACATTATTAGTACTGAGTTTAAATTGTTTTCTTGTTCACTCCTGATCATACAAACACAAAATAATAAAATATATGCTTTTAAGGGAAAAATATGAGAATTTGTGCAGATTCTATTGTTTAAATACTCTATCGTGATTGGCTAATTTTAATGAAAATTTGTCTGGGTGGCCTTGGTTGTTGAATATATAAAATCTTAAAAACTGATCATGACCTACATGTAAATTTAACTTTTACAACAACACCTATACTACATATCTAATACATTATAATCACCCTACCAAAAAGCCTAGTTTCAACCTACATGTACATATTAAGCAGATAATAATCAGATCAAACTAGGAACCTACAGTATGATCCTATTAAAAACCCACACTTGGTCTATATTTAACAATTATTCACCTCTGGCTGAGTGATTATTATTGGTGGAATATTTACCGAGCTGCAAGTCTTCAAGCAACAAGGTAAAAATTCACCATAATTACTGAGCCTGAGGGGAATGACTGTTTTAGTATAATTTTAGAATATCAGAGAAAATTCCAAATTCAGAATAAAGAAGTTTTAGTATTTATACTTCTGCTCTGGCAAACTTTAGAAAACATGACATAATCACCACTAACCTCCTAATCACCACTCGAGCAGTGATTTTCATCTCAGTCCGAATCACTGGTTGCTTGACCAATCACGCCAGCTCCGCCAAACTCTACATTCAAGTCTAAGATTATACTAAGAATTCATAGTATTCCTTACATGTACACTAGTAGTATAGGGAATGGGGGTTCCAGCGCAATCTCAACACGGGGTAAGACCCGCGTCAAAAATCCACCTACGGAAACAACCC